TCCCCATATTGTTATTTATTTTGCTCATTTGCACCCCAGTATCTCTATTTGCACATCATCTCTTGCACATCTATCATTCCAGTGTTAATACTAATTGTAATTATGTTGCACTATAGCCTATTTATTGCCTTACCTCCATAACTTGCTACATTTGCACACACTGTATATATATTTTATGTTGTATTTTTGACTTTATGTTTTGTTTTACCCCATATGTAACTCTGTGTTGTTGTTTTTATCGCACTGCTTTGCTTTATCTTGGCCAGGTCGCAGTTGTAAATGAGAACTTGTTCTCAACTGGCTTACCAGGTTAAATAAAGGTGAAAAAAAAAAAAAAAAAAAAAATCATTAGACAACGTGACAAATGTAACAAAAAAAGTAAAGCTGTAAAAACAAAGTTATTTATTGTCCTCCGAAGATGGCGGGGGGGGGGGGGGGGGGGTGAATGGGCCAATAAAAATATATAAATATATATATTTTTAAATACTTTTACACTGTAAGAGCCTTGGGCACATTCCTGAGAGTAGGGGGGCTATTGTAATTCAGACTCAGTAGCATAGCAGCACACATCCCCCCACCACCACCCTCATCCCCCCAGCCTCTTTGTTGACATGCAGGACTATGCAAATTGCCAACATGTTTGAATCTTTACATTTCAATAAGAATAAACAACCTCTCTTCCTTTGTCCAGGCCGAGAGCTGCTGTGACAAATAGGTCAAAAGAATTTCTATTGGTCATTGCAAATGCTAACGCATTTGTGAGAGATATAAACAAATAAGTGAAAAGAGCTATTCCTTATTTTTCTGTTTTCCAAATACCCCCTGCTTTTTGCATTTGCTTAGGAATCTTGTGGGAAAAACATTAAGGATGGCACACATCCTACTGATATCAGATATCAGGCATTGGCAGGGTTACAGGTATTACCCTAAACATTGGCACTGACGCTGTTACATGTATTAGGGCTAGGGGCTGGGCAGTATGGGCATCCATATCACAATAATTTCAACAATTATCAAAAGGACTATATGAGTGTTGATAGTGGACACGTTTACGTGGCACAGCTTCCATTTTGAAAATGTTCTGTTTTGTCATGAGAGGGATGAAATCTGATGATTTGCATATCACCAACATCCATATTATGATACACAAATCATACATCACCCAGACTTAAAGCTGCAATATGTAACATTTTGGGCGACCCGACCAAATCCACATAGCAATGTGAGTTATAGATCTGTCATTGTCATTGAAAGCAGGTCTAAGAAGCGATAGATCTGTTCTATATGCACTACTTCTACGCTTCCTGTGCTTACGTTTTTTACTTTCGGTTTTGTCCACCAGCTTCAAACAGCTGAAAATACAATATTTTTTGCTTATGGAAAATATATTTCACAGCGGTTTAGATGGTACAATGATTCTCTACACTATACTTGCTTGTTTTGTCACATAAACAGAAATTAGGCAAACTATTAGAATTTTAGCAACCAGGAAATGGCGGAGCGATTTCTGCATAGCGCATCCTTTAACAGGTGTGACCCAAAGCATAACATCATGTCCCTGTCCACCAGATCAATGCATTTGTGTACTGAGGCCCAGTCTATGGCCTTAATGAATGCCTCTCCTCTTTGGGGAGAGTGTAAAAGGCGGGGCACTTCCATTCCCCACCACGGGAAATCAGTCTTCACCTCTGTGTCAACAAACATCCTTCTGAGAATACCCCACACATCACTCCCTCCCCCTTCCCCCTCCACCAGCCCAATTACCCTGACACTCCCCTGCTGCTCCATGGAAGCCCCCTGTCCCCTCGAGGGTCCACACCCCAACTAGAGACCACCCCCATTCTGTCCCCTCTAGCCTTCCATTGTCACCACCGTGTGAGTGACACCCCTATCCCTAGTTTATTCCTTGTTCTACTCACGTTATGTTTATTCTCTCTGGCTAATTGTCTGCTCTTTATATGCACATTTATTTGAATGTGTTTCTCTTTCCATCTCTCAGTGAAAATTAACTTTCAGCCCAATGCACAAAACTACGCAGCACTATGTACCTGAGGGAGCTCATTCACACTCATGCTCTTAACACAATAACGTAAACTGAAATGCATTGTCATGTTACAGTATATCTCTCTAAAACAGTAACAACAACTATCCTTATAGTTCATTATGAGGAGCAATTGATTTACTGCCAGGTTGTATGTATCACAATATCCTACACCCAATAATGGGAAGGTTTATGACCCACATTCAGAAAAACACAATCAATTAACTTTGTCAATTAACAATGTACATAATATCATAATAGGACATGTGCTGTATGCCCTAAGTGAGATGTTATATGGATGGATGTCCTGACACCTTAAAACCTCTTTATGTGAATGACACAGGCTCACAGCGTATCAGACGTGTCTTTATGGAGCTAATGAGTGGATATCACCAGCCCTTCATTAGGCTAACAGGCACCTAGACCTGCTAACGCAACACCTCGGACAGGCCGGTGAACACTGAGCTCATTGCAATTTGGTTCTGGGTGCAGAGATTACTATATAACCAACATAGATCCTGCAGCTACAATTATGAAGCCGTTATTGTGACAGTGCAAAGTTGCAGCTCACATGCTGATTATGGGCATGGTAAACACACAGCCATCCTATGGGGCACGGGGGGATGGGCTGCTGGGTGTTTGTGATGTGATGAGGTGGGCTGGTGACATGCTGTGCTGTGCAGCTAGCAGGGACCTGTCTGCTGATGAATCCTAGGCCTTCATTTTATATTTCAGTGCCCCCGCCTGTCATCGGGGCTCTTATAAAAAATACATACCAGACCATAATCACACTACAACCGGCTGCCAACATACCTCAAGAGGCAGACGCATGAACGCGGATGAAAGATGGGGGGAGAGAGAGAGGGATACATAAAAAGTGGGGCAAAGAAAAGGGATAGGTTAAAAGTAGGTTATTCAACAGCAGTAATTGTAGTAGACACAATAAAGACAGACAACATGCTTTCTTTTGAAACACTGCTCTATCACCACAGGAACTTACACTCCTGCTGCTGCACATGCTACAGACATAAACATGAGCGCAAGCACACACACAAAGTGAGCAAAAGAAAGTCAAAGTTGGAAAAAATTAAGAAAAAAAGTGAAGGCTTAAAGTCATTATGCTACTGAACTTGAGTTATACTGAGCAAAAATATAAACGCAACATGCAACAATTTCAATGGTTTTACTGAGTTTACAGTTCATATAAGGAAATCAGTCAATTGAAATAAATTCAGTAGGCCCTAATCTATTGATTTCACATGACTGGGCAGGGGCGCAGCCATGAGTGGGCCTGGGAGGGCATCGGCCCACCCACTTGGGAGCCCAGCCAATCAGAATGAGTTTTTCCCCACAAACGCGCTTTATTACAGACAGAAATACTCCTCAGCACCTAACAAGGTGCACCTGTGTAATGATCATGCTGTTTAATCAGTTTAATCAGCTCATGAAACCAACACTTTACATGTTGCGTTTATATTTTTGTTCGGTATACTTTGTTTCTGGAAATATTTAAGTGCTTTGCTGTGAATTGAGGGTTGTAAATAATTGAGGAGTTAGGGGGCTTGTTAGTGAAGTATTCACACAGAAGTTGGCTTGAGCTTTGATTGGTTCTGTCAAAAGTATTTTTTCCCCCCTAGGGGATTGCGACATCTCCTTGTTTGGATTTGAAAATCCAAAAGTTGTATTGGAAGGGGGCGGCGCTCGGAGCCTGTGTGTGGCTGTCCATGTGGGTGTTTGAGCCTGCTGCATTAGGTTAGTGTTTGAGTGAGAAAGACACAGAGGAGAACCAATCAGTTAAAAACCACAGCCCCCATCATTATAGACACATATAGCCTACAACATCATGGAGCCTTTCCAGACTCTGAAGTCAAGATGACTTCGAGTTAGGTGTCAGCCAGACTACTTTCACATCTTTGTGTGTTTGCATGGGGTCTGATAGCTGTGGTGGGGTTCCGTTTAGAGAACATCAACCCCCTGTGCAGAGGGCTGGGGACATGTAAGAGCATGTCTGACTGCTCCCATTACCTACCACCACCAGCATGGATCTATTTCACAACAACACTTATTGGAGTAGCCTACAAAGGAACTGGTTATATTCCATTTACACAACTAGGGATGGCTGCCACTGAACTGACAGCTATCTTCTCAGTACTTTTGCACATGCAGACTGACAGACATAAAATACCTGGATGTTTGTGTGCATGTTTTATACAGACAAGTACAGTCAATGCATCTCTAAATAGGACAACTATTAAACAAATATCTTTCTACTTTGCTGTGTAGCCTATGTGCTGTGATATTTTAGAAATAGTATAAAAGTAATACAGCCCATACACTCATAAACTCCACCACGCACCTTTATTAATAAATATGAAGATCCTTGCAGGATCGAAATGTTGTGTGTTTATTAATAAAGGTACGTGGTGGAGCTTACAAGTGTGCTGGCTGTTTTACTTTTATATCGACTTTATCCAGCCCTGCACCCCACTAAAGGATGTGCGTTTGATCACACTTTACCTGTGATGTTTTAGATTCTCCTTGCATATGTGCAATTTGCATCTGTGTGCACGTGGACATTATATTCTTATTTTTCTTATACTTAGGCCTAAATAACTTTTTCGATAGGTTTGGTTTCTATTGAGGATCAATAATTATTCTATAATTTCATTCACCATTCTTTCACGTGTTTTAGGTATTATAAGATGTCATATATTTGGACAATTACTAGCGCCCCAGTCCCTCTACAGTGGGTATTAACGCTTTTTCTGTAAAATAAATGATGTTTTGTTAACACCTGTTGCACGGGGCATTATTTTTCTCCTTGTGTTTGGCTCGCGGATCCACGTGAAGGAGGGCAGGGAGCCGAGTGAGCCTGCTGTTGCCAGTAGCCAATCAGCATTGAGCATTTATTTGCCACTATAAAATCCAACCGGCTTGTACATCCTGCAGTATTCACACAGTCAGCTCCAGTTTTGAAGGAACGATTGAAAAGAGAGTGGGTTTCTGAAGCTGATAACAGGGATTACGTTAGCTCTTTACAAACCATCTTCCGAGACATTATTTGATAGAGCTGAATTGAATTTTGCATCCTATTGAAAACTGAACGAGGATTTAGTAAAAATGCGTCTGATCCAGAACATGTCAACCATCGCGGAGTTTGCGACCCCAGTGTGTCCGTCCAACCGGACCATCAAAATAGCAGTGATCGGGGGCAGCGGAGTTGGCAAAACAGGTAAATTGAAAAATCATTTGGATTTATCAACAGTTTTTCGTTTTACTGTTTGAACTTGTTAGTTTATGTTAACTGCATTAATGAAATGTATTTTGTAAATTCATAGACTACGTGATGAATTTATGTTATGATCCTCTTTTCTCTTCCAGCTCTGGTAGTAAGGTTTCTAACAAGGCGCTTCATCGGCGACTACGAGAGAAACGCAGGAAACCTTTATTCAAGAGAGGTCCAGGTGGACGGAGGAGAGCAAGTAGCCATCCAAGTCCAGGACACGCCGGGTGTTGATGTAAGTTCACTATCTGCCTTTTGCTACACAAACCGTTCCCAAATGCGTTCACTCAGCTTGAATTGAGCGCTCGAGGCGGCTGCTTTTGAGTGCCTACAGACCAACATAATGTAGGCTAGTCTTCCATAGCCTCTCTGTGATCAGTGTGAGGTTTTACGAATAGATAATTATAAAATCCTACCATAAATCAGTATCTACAGTAGTTATATTACCATAGTAGGCTATGAGAAGTCTCTGAGATTTCTGTGTAGAGTTCTTCCCTCCCTTGTCTGGGCACTGGTCCAAACCCGCAGGTTTTTTATTACTGAAGTACAGAGACTTTTAGTCTAGCCGTCTAATTTCCCATTCCCTTCAGCGGATGTCTGAGCCAGGGGTAAATGATACCCCACTTCTGGCTCCTCAATCAACCTCACCTGGTTCCCCTTCACTCACTCAGCAGCCGCAGGAGAGAGTAGGCTAGGGGCTTGAGAGGAGTTAAGTTACTCCCAGTGGCTGACTAGACTACAGCACTCCATTCAGTAGAACAGACCTGTTGCATAATGATGGGAATATTTGGTCTGGTTTCAATTTAAATCACATAGCTGTGAGGCTGTCCAGGGTGGATTATATAACGTTCATTATGTGGGTTCCAATGCAACAGTTCTCTAACCATGATCTCCTCCTTGTTCTCCTCAGCTGACAGGTAATGGCCTCAGCATCCCAGATCATGTGACCTGCTCCATCCAATGGGCCGATGCCGTGGTGCTGGTCTACTCTGTGACCGACCGCCATAGCTTTGACCTGATTGGCCAGTTGCACCAGCTGGTGGCCCGAACAGGTGGGGCCAACATGCCACCCGTCATCCTGCTGGCCAATAAGGCGGACCTGCTGCATATGAGGCGGGTGGACGCCGACCAGGGCCCCCTGCTGGCGGCGGCGCTGGGTTGCTCCTTCTATGAGGTGTCAGCCAGTGAAGACTACAGCCAGGTACATGGGGCCTTCCACAGGCTGTGCTGCCACATGGCCAAGCAGCAGCCCACAGCCTTGATGTCCTCCCACACCACCTCCAGCGGAGCGGCTGAGAAGAAGGGCCGCTCACCCCTTATCCCCAGGCCCAAGTCCCCCAACATGCAGGACCTGAAGAGGCGCTTCAAGCAGGCCCTGTCAGCTAAAGTCAGGACTGTCACCTCTGTGTGAGAAGGACTTGGGTTCGTCTACTACACAACGTGGTCCAGAGTGGCTACTGAAAATAAATTAAATGAGGAGAAAAGAGGGCAGAGAAGATTCCTGTGCCTTGTTTGGGACCTCTCAATATGGCTGGAGCAGCCTGACTTGCGATGAGCAGCAGAGACAAAATGGAGGCTCAACTTTGACCTCTGACCTATGTTCACTGACAGACAGAGGTAATGACCTGTGGGGTGAACAGGTGTCCGCCTGTTTGTCACCATCACTCCTGTCCTGTCTGAGACTGTTCACTGAGTCTGCAGACGTCTGCTATGAGAGACGGCAGCTGGGAGGTGTTGGTATGTCAGCCCACCAGAAGGGACAAAGAGGGAAGCTGAATGAAGCCTTGAAGGACACTGCACAGTGTTTATTTTTTCTTGTAACAGTTTTGTTTTTGTTCAGGCTGACACTGCTTGGCAATGTTTAGAGAGCACTCCATTGTCAGACATGCCAAGGACTTGAGTCAGCGCGCTGTGTTTTCACTGTTACATTTCTCATCTGTCATTATCTCCAGTTCCCCAGTGCATTCCTTGTACAACAGGCAAAACCATCATTTTGCACATCATGGTAGTGAACTATGAGTGGAAGGCAGGATCACTGCGGGGCAGCATGGATTAGACACTGGGCTGGGTGGGGTGTTGGGGGTATTTGTGATGCACTTTAAGAAAGCCAAGTGGCTTACTTTATATTTATTTGTTTTACTTTTGAAAATAAAATGATTGCATTCATGACGACTCTTGTCTTCTGACTATAACCTCTTATGTTTGAGTAAAATACACTGACAGACTTATACGGGCCAGGTCTGAACCAGGTACACACAGACATATGAATGGATTATAGGTGAGGGTCTGTGTGCATACATTATTTACAATGAAGCATGATAAGAAACCAGGCCATTTTTGCACATGAACATAGTCCAGGCTCTTCCTCAAAGGAGCTGTTCCTAAACCTGGGACAAAAGACTCAATCAAGCCCCATCTCTCCTAACTCCAAAGACAATTCAGATTCTGAAACTCATGAGAAGAATGGTTGATAAATGGCTGTGGCTCCAAATAATTAGCATATACCACATCTAAGTGGGAGGAAGGCTTGTAATCAAGTATAATCCATGGCATGTTCTATTCTACCAGAGCAGTGGGTGTAGAATGCACAAAAAAACAGTGTGAAGGCTGTTTGACAGATCTCTAGAGGCAGTGATTTAAAGGGCAATTCCACAAATTTTCAAGTTCATTTTCACCATCTCCAGCACAATACCAGTGTCTTATGTGAAAACGGTGCGCTTCTACATTCATTTTATAGACAAAAATATATCGATTTAAAGTTATAATGGATTACATCAAAAGTTAAAACAAACTGATTTTCAAACACCGATTTGTGGTGACGTTGGGAGCACTCTGGCTATAAACTTTTTGCAGGTTTTGAAAAATCACTACTTTTAATCCTACACTGTGTCACAGAGAAACATTTTTTAGGACCTTTATCTTAACCAGAGATCATAGAAACGAGCTGGATGTAATGAAGATAAGGTTAAATAGTGGCAGAATTGCCCTTTAATACGACAGCTACAACCGAGCACCACCATTGTCTTCCTATGTCACAGAGGAGGGTGGGCGGTGTGACTGACAGGACAGCTGTGTCACTGTGATAGCATTGAGATGGTTGTGTGATTGTCAGGGTTACAACATGACTGATCATGTCATTGTTAGGGCAACAATAAATATTACAGCCACAACACAACAGTATTATTGTGATGTCACAGAGAGGGTGCTGTTTGAATGTGGTGTCAGGTCAGGGTTGTAATGTGCATAGAGACATGGCTCTAATTCTCTCTGCACTTCTCCCTGCATACTGAACGGTTGTTTGTTGACACCATCTCAACACCAGGACGCCTCACGTTACTTCACACTCTCACCTCTAATGAGCTCACACATGCTATAGGACCAATAGCACTTCAGTTAGTGCCACAGTCAGAACAACCCTAAAATTCACACACGCATATTAACCAACTAATATTCAAGAACTTTCCATTTCACATGGATGAGTTTCACAAATATACAAGATGTATTCAATGTATTCAGATTTAATGTAAACAACAAACATGTATTAAAGTAACTTGATTTGAATGTCATCTGTCTGTTTGGAGTTGAGGTTCGAGACAGAATCCTCTTTACACCAGATTGAATGAAGCTTACATTCTGTACAGTTTGGAATGAGAGAATCCATAAGTACCTAATTGTTGCCTTACAACGTCATTTCGGGAGTACAAGGGAAGGGAGACGATTATAACGTAACAAAACTGAAGTAAACATTTATGAATTACTTTGAAAAAGCCTAAATAGATCCTCTGTTTTTCCTCTAGTCTAATTTATAAACCTCCACCTCTGCTCACCACACCCATGACTCCAGTCCATTACCAAACCACACAATCTCACTGGAGCATCTAATTTCTCCTCTCCACACCCTAAGAGCGGTAGGTGTTGGTGGAGTGGGTGTGTGGTCCTTGTTCCGTGCTCACACACCAATATCTGGCACCAGTCTTTGGGTGGTGAAGAGCAGCTCAGGGACATCTGTAGGTCTCAACAGTCTGGTAGAGAGAACCAGCACCTGGGAGAAAGAGCAGACAGACAGACAGACAGGACGTGTCAGACTGGCCAGTGGCTACATCAGCAAAGGAGAAAGACAACTGTGTGTGTTCAGACCATTGGTTCAGACAACTGGAGTAAACATCCTGCTTAAAATAAGCAGATACTGAATGTGCATTGAAGGCACAATACTCTCCATAAAAATTATACAAAATGATTTAGATAGAGATTACATTTATTGCGCCTTCCGTCCACATTCAGTATATGACCCAATGACTCAGTTTAGACATTAGGCAAACCCTGGCTATTCACTTTGAACTGTATTAGAAGAAATATCATATCTGTGTCATTAGTCCAAACAAAACCATTGTCTAACTGCATTTAAACATGGGTTAATTAATGCCAAGTCCTTAGAGGACCTCTATGTTCCTGGAAGCCAGCCTTTATCAGAACACTACCAAAGGCAGATAGACAGAGCAGGCTGAATGGGTTGGGGTCAGAGTATGTGGGTTGAGGTCAGACTGTGTGGGCCGCTGGCTTCAGGATGAGGGTCCTACAGTAAGAGCCTCTCTTTCTTCTGTTGTTCTGATTCGAGATGTATTCATTTATTCATCAGGTTTTGATGCTGCTCAGGCTTTTCATCCCCTCTGAAGTCTATTATACATCCCTTTCATTAGCACAGCTAGCCAGGGATTGGACTGTACTGCTGTACACTGGCTCACAGTTCACTGACCATGTACACATAATATACAATACACACTGATGTTTAGCATGTGGTTGAGATGCCAAACACACACAATGGCTGTGCACTTATGTGTGTATATAACATGAGTTCCTTTTACCGCTGCACTATCCATTGTCTGTCACCTGAGAATATGGGTCAGTGTGTGTGTGTGTGTGTGTGTGTGAGAGAGTGTGTGTGTCGGTTTATATGGCTTGCGAAAGTATTCACCCCCATTTAAATTACAGGTTGTAATGCAACAAAATAGGAAAAAACGCAAAGGGGGATGAATACTTTTGCAAGGCACTGTAATATCTAGCTACTCTTGACTTTCTTCCAGGGCAGATGAAGGAACATCGCCAACTCAGCACCCAGATCTTTGTTGTCGCCCTCTCCCTGCTTCTCCCTGTGTTTTCTGCTCAGGTTCCTCTTTTGATATGTCCTTCAGACTCTGATGACAAACCATCACAGTGTGTTATGTAACGACACTGAGCCACAACCTGGAGAGCTGTAGCCTGAACAACACATCAATACCACAGCAGCAAAGACTGCACCTGGCCTCTCGCATCTCCTCTCCTCTGATCCATTTACATCACCCTCTTTCCCTCCCTCTCTGCGTTGTTTGTTCGACGCAAGCTCTCCCAGGTGAGTTGAGAGCAGCAGGCCGGGGTCTTTCACCTGTGTGCCCGGCTTGTGGGCGGAGACTACCTCGCGGATCAAGCGGAGCTCAGAGGGAGTGACTCCTCCCACCAGGAAGAGAAAGAGCAGGGAGTGGTCGCTGGGGTGTGGCCGGCTCACCTAGAGAGGGGTTAGGGATTGGGATAAAAAGAACATGACAGAATTAGCTCATGTAATTTGAATGGAACAAGCTAACCATAACATAATTGAAGGTTATGTTATGGGTGGTGAGCTGAAACTCTGAAGACAATCTGTGGAACCAGATTACAGTTCAGCATAAACTGACTCAATCTATCCAGGCTCTGTTGCAGCCGGCCGCGACCGGGAGACTCATGGGCGGCGCACAATTGGCCCAGCGTCGTCCAGGGTAGGGGAGGGAATGGCCGGCAGGGATGTAGCTCAGTTGATAGAGCATGGCGTTTGCAATGCCAGGGTTGTGGGTTCGATTCCCACGGGGGGCCAGTATAAAAAAATATGTATTCACTAACTGTAAGTCGCTCTGGATAAGAGCGTCTGCTAAATGACTAAAATGTAAAATGTAAATGTAAATCTCTCTCTTCCTCTCTCTGTCTCTCCCTATGTCACTCCCCACTGGGCAAAAACGGGTTGAATTAACATTTTTTCCATGTAATTTCTATGTGATGACGTTGAATCAAAGTGGAAAACTCATTGGATTTGCAAAAAGTAATCAACGTATGGGCATTTCGTCTTTTTTTCACCTTTTACCTAAATCCAATGACATGGTGAAATGTTTTGTTGATTTCAAGTTGAAATCACAATAGTTGACAAATCAACCAAATGTAAATCAAAACTAGACGTTAAACTGATGTCTGTGTGCCCAGGAGGGTCTCCCCGTCTGTCCTTTAGTCTCTCCTCTATCTGGTATGAGTCACTGGTACAGCTGTAGGGCAGTGGTCAGAATGGACTATTCAGTCGAATGCTTTGAACCACACTCATTCCAGACACACACATACACGGATTTGTACATGAGTGTGAGTCAGGGAGCCTGGTGCGCCTGATGTGTGTGATTGGTTGGCCTATGGATAATGGCTGTGTTCTATTGGCTGGGAAGCGGCGTCAAGGCCACATCTGCAGCCTTCGAATAATAATGGTGCAATCAAAGCTACAGGGGGGCGGGACTGGTCCCGGATGGCCAGACATGTGCATCAGGACTGTCTGCCTGGGCTGGCTCAACATGTGTCTCAGAGTAGGTACTGTGTATCTATGAGTGTGTGTGTGTTTAAGGGTGTGTGTGTTTACATTTATAAATATGTACATTGCACAAGTGTGTGGATGTGAGACTGAACATGTGTGTGCAATGTTGTAGGTCAGATGGGTATGGGTCTTTGTGTTAATTTGTATTAGAAAGGGGTGAATATCTCCTTTCACATATGTATGAGTCTTTGTATGCATTTGTGCATTAGCTATACCTGCACACACACAGAACAGCAGACCAGTACACAGCATCTACATGTGCATCTTTAAAGAGGTATGAACACCTACCCCCCATCAGGTAACACACCCACTGTACTCTAGCAACAACCAAGTGTCGGATACATGTGTATGAGTGAGAGGAGGGGAGGGGGTTTAGAAGAGAAAATGAAGAGAAGCGAAGGAAAGCGAAGCGGAACATAACATCAATCAACTAGAAATGTAGTTTTACATGAAGTAAACTTGTGAGACTTGCTTCAGCTGTTTAAAAGTATTTTCATGGTAGTTGAAGAAGTTTGTTTTCAGGACCGGCTCTAGCCTTTTAAGGATTTGATTGGGGCCCCGCCCCCCACCAAGCGGGACATTTCTTTTTGTGTCCCCCCTCTTGACGGCGGCGAGAAAAATGTATGTTTTAAAGTTTATTACCTGCTATTCTACACATTTTGCCATGGGGCATAGAGAAAATGTTGCAGTTTTAAAGCAAGTTTTCTGCAGTTCTACACATTTTGCCATGGGGCGGAGAGAACATTTAGCAAATTTATAACACATTTCATGCAATTCTACTCATTTTGCCATGGGGCAGAGAGATGTTTTTGCAGTTTTAAAGCTAATTTCCTGCAATTCTACACGTTTTGCCATGACTTATGATATCTGAGTGAGAGTGACTAACAACATCAATGGGGGCCCACTGGAGGTCAAGGCCCCTGGGCACGTGCGCTGCGTGCCCGGTCGGTATTCGGCCATGATTACTACAAGTTTAGATAACTGGCTAGACTAAATTACCAATCTAAAAATGGTTAGCTTCCATGGTTAATTGAGTGAATACTGATGCAGTCACTGCTCATGAGAAAAACTGCTGATGCACAACTAAAACTTTTTTGGTTACTACATGATTCTATATGTTCCAAAACCAACCCAAAACAAATAAACACATAAAAAAGGGGGGCAACCACTTATGTCGCTTATGTCTGGAGCCGGCCCTGTTTGTTTTAGTTAAGCAAAGCAATCAAGCTTTACATTTTGTACTATCTTTGATTGGTAGAAGATATTTCTGTTCTGATTTCAGATTATTTTATTTATTTACTTCTAGTTTACAGCACCTGGAGTTCCCAGGTGGTCTTCCATCCTAGTACTAACCAGGCCCGACCCTGCTTAGCTATCGAGATCAGGCGTGTTCAGCGTGGTATCGCCACAATATTTTTTTTTTACCCCATTTTCTCCCTGATTTCAGATTTGAAGTAGACTAAGATTTCCTCTAAGTTTTTGTCTAACTTGTTGGGAAAGTGGTCAAAGTAGCTGATTTGTGTCAAAAGTCACATTGTTTACTAATTGTCTCATTCTTAGAATGTGCTCCCCCAGTGCTATAATTAAGCAATAAGTCATCTTTAGCTCCTCTGTAGCTCAATTGGTAGAGCATGGCGCTTGTAACACCAGGGTAGTGGGTTCGATCCCCGGGACCACCCATACGTAAAAATGTATGCGCACATGACTGTAAGTCGCTTTGGATAAAAGTGTCTGCTAAATGGCATATTATTATTATTATTATTAAACCAGAACTAAAGTCTTGTGTAATTGGTAAGACACTCGGTAAAATTTTAAATCACATTTTATTGGTCACATATACATATTTAGCAGATGTTATTGCGGGTGTAGCGAAATGCTTGTGTTCCTAGCTCCAACATTGCAGGGTCTATACGTGTTAAGATAATAACTTTATTTTGATAAGTAAATTCATACTATTTCATTCTTCCACCAGATGAAATAGCCCAAACAGAAACTGGTCGTCAATTCTATTGCCAATGTTGTCAGGGAAAATCACTGGTTGTTTGTTCTATAGTTCTAACAAAAATGTTACAGGTAGCTTAGTTATGTGCTAACGTTTAAGATTTTTTTTCACATTCATCTGTACATTGCCATTTATTGTGCATCTGCAAAAAAAGTGTCCCATGTCGCCTTGTGCGTTTCACCAGGAACAGTATCAATTCTCCTACACTTTGCTCCAAGAGTGGTGCTGATGTTGGTGTTGTCACCTGCTAGCTAGCTAGCCAACTTCAGCTAACTCAGTCACGTCAAATATTGCACCTGGAATGACTAGTTACATTTTTGTTTGTTTTTACCTTTTTTTCTATTGCCATTGACTTGAATATATCCATAATAATGACATTGATGCGTGATTTCGCCTGGCTCAGAAAAAGTTGATTTCTCCTCTGGACACCCTTTGCTCTCAAATTTTAAACATTGTTTCCGAGGTCGGAAAGGCAGACAGCTAGGCTTATGTTAATAATAATAATAATAATAATAATAATAATAATAATACCTCCGCTGTACCAAACTAAATGCTAGGCTGGGAGCTTGGGGAAATGTGTGCGAGTTGAGATAAATACAACAGATGATTCGGACAGCAATGTAAAAATTATGATATTCTTATGGAGGCGCAGTGATAATGCAGATGGAACTGTTAGCAGGTATACAGTGGGGGAAAAAAGTATTTAGTCAGCCACCAATTGTGCAAGTTCTCCCACTTAAAAAGATGAGAGAGGCCTGTAATTTTCATCATAGGTACACGTTAACTATGACAGACAAATTGAGAATTTCTTTCTCCAGAAAATCACATTGTAGGATTTTTTATGAATTTATTTGCAAATTATGGTGGAAAATAAGTATTTGGTCACCTACAAACAAGCAAGATTTCTGGCTCTCACAGACCTGTAACTTCTTCTTTAAGAGGCTCCTCTGTCCTCCACTCGTTACCTGTATTAATGGCACCTGTTTGAACTTGTTATCAGTATAAAAGACACCTGTCCACAACCTCAAACAGTCACACTCCAAACTCCACTATGGCCAAGACCAAAGAGCTGTCAAAGGACACCAGAAACAAAATTGTACACCTGCACCAGGCTGGGAAGACTGAATCTGCAATAGGTAAGCAGCTTGGTTTGAAGAAATCAACTGTGGGAGCAATTATTAGGAAATGGAAGACATACAAGACCACTGATAATCTCCCTCGATCTGGGGCTCCACGCAAGATCTCACCCCGTGGGGTCAAAATGATCACAAGAGAAGTTTACTAAGATTTCATTTGCCCTATGTTTTTGTCCAAGTTGTTGGGAAAGTGGTCAAATGGTAGTTGCTTCAAAATGTTGAGAGGAAAAGTAGTTGATGCGGTTACTAAAACAGCTTTGGCTGCTGAAGCAAGCCACACTAATGACTCTGAAGACAAAAGATAACATTTCTCCATACACTCAAACACATGTTTTTTTTTTTTTTTCTTTGTCATTTAGCAGACGCTCTTATCCAGAGCGACTTACAGTTAGTGAGTGCATACATTTTCCATACATACATACATTAACACATACTCCCTGTTTGTGGGAGTTAAAAGCGTGCTGCTGACAGACATGTCCTCATTGTCTCCTGCAGACTGAATCAGAGTGGCATGAGGTTTACAGTAGTGGGTGGCTGAGAAGGAGCCAGGGAGTCTGTACGACTCACAGTCTGTCTAAACAAAACTTCACAAAAACTCTGCGATCAAACACGCAGCACATACACACCTTCACCTAGAGTACATCTACACATGCACACACTCTTTTGAGAGGTATTCTCTTAACGGTAAGCCAGACAGTGAAAGTACATTATGTTAGCTACAGACTAGAGGGTGCACTGGGCATGTGTTTTATGGTTAAAGCTTATAC